TTAAGATATCTACATCTGTTAATGGTCTCAATTTTTTCCTGAACTCTGAGAGCATTTACATTGAGCAGTTATTGTGTCTTGTGAACTCTGCCCATTTTGTAGTTTGTGCTCTTGGAAACAGTGATAACGAGGCATGTCTAGGCACCGCAAAAAAATTTTCATAATAGACTTTTCACAGTTTTTATTGTTGGATTGTCTTCTCCCATCTTATAGAAGTCTGTTCCCAAAATTTCAGCGAAAAATCTTTATTCAATCCCGAGTTACAGACCCTTTTGTACCAGACCTCCATGTACTGACTTTCTCCCCTTTTTTTTGCGGTGCCTAGGCATGTCTTATATTGAATATGGTGTGCATACTGATAAGGGCGTGTGGCTCAGGTGGTAAGAGAATTTGCCATGACCCTGTTCCATTCGAGTTCGGTTCTCGTTTTTGACCACTTCTTGTGTTCGAGGCAGTCCGCTGCCCTGCTTCACACTTCCGTGAAAGCGGGTGGATCCCTCCAAAGGCAGTTCACTGCCCAGCTCCACATTTCCGTGGTAGCGGGTGAATCCCTTTAACACCAATAAGGCAGTTCATTGCTCAGCTCCACATTTCCGTGGTAGCAGGTGAACCCCTTTACGTCACTAACTATGAACCGAACAAGATTTGGACACGCCCCCTAATTTCTCTTGTTTAAAAATCTTCTTCAAAAAACTTCTCTAAAAATAAAAAAAGCCGGCTCAAAAAAAATGCAACTTCTCAGGAACTCTTCCTCTACTCATTGAATGTAAGTTAAGCTGCTCGCGTGCAGACGCCATGTTTGGGGTTCATGGCTAAGGTGTTGTCAAATTCACTCTCTAGTGAAGCGGCTGGCAACACTGAACGTCCCCCAGTTCTGAATAATCGCACAAAGTTAAGATTGTAGGCATGCATACAGTCGCCATGTTTGGGGTTCATGGCTAAGTACCAAGATACTGAACGTCCCCCAGGTGCTAGATATCCACTCAAAGTTAAGCTGCATAAGTGTAGATGCCATGTTTGGGGTTCATGGCTAAGTATCAAGATACTGAACGTCCCCATGTTCTGGATAATCGCCCAAAGTTAAGACAAACTGGGTAAGTGATAAACTCGTGGTAGAGATCCTTAAGGTGCTTAATGTAAGAATGAATCCGTAGTGGAGAGACTTGGGGTATACTGGCGGATAATTCCGTAGTGGAGAGGTGGTATGAGCTGACGGAGAGCCGACGATAATCTGACAGAGCGCTAAAGGAGCGCTGACCATCTGATGGAGGGCCCGAGGAATTTTCGGGAAAATAGGGGGTCATTTTAAAAGGTCGTTTTTGATTGATTAATTGGGTTATCCTTGGAGATTGATATCAAATTTTGACAAAAGTGGTAATAATTAGAGGCGGGCCCAAAAGTGCGCCAGAAAGGACAATTATATACTACTACAGTGGCGGATTCAAGGACGGGACCTCGTAAATCGACACGAACGGCGCCCGCGAAATTTTCAGGTGCCAGTTTTTTAACATTCGACAATATTGGTCTTTTTGCTTTTTTAGTATAAAAATTTCACTAAAAAGTTATGCCCCTCCATAGAAGATCTGTTCTCAGAGGACCCACAAAAAATAAAAGTGCCCCTCTAATTGATGTGCTCCCCTGAGGACCCCACGAAAAAATAGAAGGGCCGGCCCTTCTAATACAGGTTTCACGGTAGTTTAAAATCAAAGTTTTTTTTATATACTAATTTACTGTTCGCTAAAAATTATGGGCTTACCATGGAATGACTCCCAAGTGTTACACTCGAAAAAAATGAGACCTATATGGTTGGATGGAGCGTAAAAAGTTATCATTGTTAGAATTCAAACGGAATAGACGTGTGGAAGTGGTTTCGTCAGAGAAAGAACTATTAGGAAGATTGTGAAAAGCCGTATTTTGTAAAAACCAGGAAAGTTTCCAGAATTTTTTTGAGTGCGAGTGTGCGCTTTGACAGGACGGTGTACTGTAATTGGTGTTCACACAGTGCTACGTAGCTCTTCACACAGTGCTACGTAGCTCGGCTACGTAGCTAGTTCAATTTATTGACAGTCTTGTACAACCAAAATTTTGGAGAAATCATTTTTTATGTACTCCTCTGTAAGTAAGAAAAACATTTCGTCATTTCTTCCTGAGATTTTTTTTGCAGGAGATTGATTGTCTCTCAAGTGTCAACCTTAGTATGATTTCATCTAAAAATGTTGAAATTGAAATTGACACCTAAAATGTTTATTGAGGCATTAATATGTACATAAACTGAAAAATCATATTCCAAAATTTGTATTAGGAATTATTATTTTAGTTAGTGAGGAAGATGATGAATTAAATGGAATGAAAATATAGTAATATAGGCAAAAAAATATGAAATTTTCAATATACAACTTATTCTCAAAATACCATGATTTTCTCGAAATGCCCTTAAATTCCTACAGAGCTGGGTTTTTTAATTCATGTTTTTTCCGTAAGATATGTAATTTTTGATGTCAAAATGATAGCGAATCCTCAAAAAATCCGTTCTTTCGATCTGCTGCTTTTTTTTCTTATACCACATTGAACAAAAAATCACATGGAATGGAAAACTTTTCCTCCCAACCCTCACTGGTTTGTCAATTAAAATATTTTTTGCCTCATATTTCTCACCTTTTTCATCAGATTGACATCTCAACAGCAATATCTGTCATTTCTTCCCTTTTATCTTTCCCTTTTCTTCCGATTGAGCTTTTTCCACGACAAATTGTTTGATTCACATGATGATTGGCTGATTGACATCACAAAACTTTGTGAGCAGTATAAAAGACAAAATGGTAGATCAAAACGGGCATTGTTTTATTGTTTCTGTTTTTTTCACATTGTTTAGACCTGCGACACGCTATTCAATAAATTTTTCTTAATAAAAGAAAAGCTGCATTTCAGAGATGTCTTTCATCTGGAAAATAATCTTTGCTGTTGCTGTGGTTCTAACAGTTCACTGCATGGATGAACGTCATGATCCTGTGATGAGGCAAGCCATCCGACCAGTTCAGAGAGCTTCTGATTCTTTTCCCAAGAAAGATGAATATCAAATGGTAATTTTGAACTATCTATGATTGTGTTTAATATTATATTTCAGAAAGTTATGATGGTTATGGGAACTATCTACTGCAACGGAGAGAGAGCTGCCGGAGTCCAACCATTTTTCCAAGATCCGTATTCTCCAGACCACCCGGCGGTCTACACCCGTACCGATAAAATAGGATTCTACAGATTGGAGACTACAAACAAGTTCGACAGGGAGAGCGAAGTATGGTTCACTATTCGTCACCAGTGCCCAATGCCAAACGTTACACCAGCAGCCCACTGCAACACCCCGTTTTATTGGACTGAGATCCCAATTGATTATCCAGACAAAAATTCCCACGTTACTGTGAGTCTTTTTTTTAATGCGGGTCGTTAATGCTTTCGAGAAACTCTGATATGATATCAGCTATCAGACCAGCTAAAAGTTTTTTTTTTAATTTTTAGAGTTAGAGATACAGTACCGGCCAATAAAATATACAAAAGCATAACTTTCAGTTGATTTTTGGCCATTATTACCATTTTCAGAATTCTGAAGCTCAGCTCTCAAGTTTCAGATCATTAAAAAAAACATTTCAGAGGGTGCAAAATAGGTCTAGCCTGGAAACTTTGTATTCACAGAATTTTTCGATGATTCCTATGTTTCAGCTATTTGTCGATTCCTAACAGGCATTTGTTTTTTTTACGTGTTGAGTACAAAAACGCGCAAAACGTCGTATCTTGCAGAAATCTGCAATTTGCTGAAAAACTAGGGATTTGCGAAAAATTCTGTGAATGCAAAGTTTTTCATCAAGGTCTGTTTTACTATCTTCAAAGTTTTCAAAATGTTCCGATATTTGACAGCCGAACTCTAGACTCCTCAAAATGGTCAAAATAGACTGGTAATACGTTTTTGTATATCTTATCGACCGGCACCACTTTTTGTAATATGTTTCTCATGACTTTGAATTTTCCTATTAATCTGATTTTTTTGCAGTTCAACTTCGACTTGGCTGACAAAGGAAACTATACGAGAGCTTACTGCCTCTACTGATTGTCTTCTAATCTTTCTCAAACGTTTCTTTTTTGCTTAGAATGAATTTTTTCTGTTCTTTTTTATTTGAAAAATAAAATAATTATTCGAGGCAGATGGTGCAAGGAAAAAATCCATTTTGGCATTAGATAGCGATATGTTTTAGAAAATAAAAATCATAGTCTGGAAAGTTTAAAAAAACTTACAAAAATTTACAAAAATTCATCATTTAGCAGAAACAAGACAACAAGAAAAAAGAAACACGGTTAAGCTTTAGATATGAAAACCTAGGTTTCAGAAAAAATGAACAAAGAAAAAGAAAATTTCGATGAGTACTACCGGCATTTTAATGGTTCATGAAAAAACAGAGCAATGTGGGACACGAGCACTATGGAAAATCACTTGGTGGTTTACAATGAATATGAGAGGCTTCTGGACTTTTACAAGAACAATTTGAAAAGACATCTCGAGAATAAAAAGTGCACTTTGGTGGAAAAGATGCAAGGAGTTCCCGAAAATTTGGATTTTTTGAAATTTGAGAAACTAGATTGACAGAATCAGAGGGGAAGGTTTAGTAAATGGAATACAATATCTCATGTACAATTAATGAATAATAACATATGAATTACTGTCTTTTCATAATCTCCGCAAAGAGAACATATTCCGGCTCGCCGGAGGTCATCTCGCAGTCCGGCTTACAGATACATCTCACCATTTTTCCGGTTGGCACTACACGATCTCCCGCCTTTGGTGGCGGCGGGAGAACGTATGTGTGCCCATCGGCAAAACTCTGAAAAATCACTTATTGCTTTTTTTTGTAATTTCGAGAACAGTGAGTTACCGTGTAGACCAAGTTTTCCGTTTGTTGTCTGACGGAACGTTCGTACTCCAATTGCTTGTTTTCGTTTTTTGTCTGCTCGAGAATTTTTTTGAATATGTTGCTTTGCATTTTTTGCAACTTGACGTAGGCCTTGAGAACATCTACCTGGTACTGGAAATAAGGATATCATCGTGACAACTACTGTTGATAGAACATCGCGTGTTTTTGACTTTAACTTGAGAATTTTGACTTTAACTTGTTTTTGACTTTAACTTGATGAAAAATATATATTGGAAAACTGTAAACGCCCTTCGATTAAAAGTTGAAAAAAGAAACTCTCGGAAAATTAATAAGGTGTCCTATCATTTTTGGACGCTCGAAGTCGACCCACCACACGGATAAATGCAATAATCTGTACCGGAGTAACTTTTAATTTTGAATCTAATGGCGTTCACAGTTTTTTGTATCGTTTTGCGTTCTCGAGTTATAGTCCGCACTATATAGGATAAAACTAACTTTCAACTCGAAAACTTCGAACATTTTGGCCAATGGCATTTCCATCAACTCCTTGGGAACTTCCGGCATCTTTTCGAGCAAAGCGAACTTGATTTCTTTGAGATGCTTTTCCAAATTTGGTTTGCGAGACTGCACAAACTTCTGCCATTTTTTGTCATCAAACATGTCCTTGCCCTCAGTGCTTTTGTCACACATGACTCGACCAGCTTCATTTTTCGTTTTTTTAACAAACGAATCATATGCTTCGGTAGTTTCAAGTTTGAAGTTAGAGAGAAGGTGGTAATATTCATCAAACTTCTTCTCAAAAATGTGCTGACCCAGCTCTCGAATCTGAAAAAATGAAAAGAAATTCGGAAAAAAATTAAATCAAAAATCACTTACTCTAGTTTTCAGCTCCTCCTTATAATCGTCAGAAACACCCGACGAGTTGATTTTAACGACGATTTTCTCCGTACTGATATTTAGGCAGTGAGATAAAATTTCTTCGCGCAACTTCTTGATCTCATCGTCTTTCTTGCTTGCGTTGCATCCATCTGCTATGGCGAGGTCACTGATGAGTTGCCCGACGATAATTTGTTCACTCTGTTCCAATATGTTTTTTTCAGTTTCCATTGACGATGAATTAGATGAAGTATTCATTTCGATAGAAGTGATAACCCTGAAAAGAAGTGAAACTTTTTTAAAAGTTCATGACTTCTGAGATTAATCTATACGAGACAAAATTGGGCAACATAATTGACAACTAGCTAAATGGAACAACACATACTGTGAAACATATACTTCTATTGTTCCAAGGTAGCTTTGGAAGGCCCCTCCGTTTGAGTGGACTATTTTTTTTCAAACATTTTCATCGAAAAGTTCGGTTTACCGTAAAACCTGTACTAGAAGGCCCTGTTCAATAGAAGGACCCTCCAATAAAAGGGCCCTACGAGAAGGAGTAGGGAAAGTAGAAGGGCCGTGTGTAAGGAATGACAACCTCCAAAATATGTCTTGAAATTGAAACATTTCCGTACTTTTTCAGTGAAAAATATTTCGGCAATTCGAAACATTACTATAACTTTGCCGAAACACTATTTTATCGTAAAAAAAACCGCTTCCTTTAGTGAAATTGAAATTTTTCATGAATTTTGAAAGAAAATTCGTCAAATTTTTCGATGAAAATTGCGAGAAAAAGGACCGGAAAAATAGAAGGGTCCGCTCTAATTGAAGGGATCCTCTAATAGAAGGGCCTCCGGAGGTACCTTGGAAAAATTGAAGGACCGTCCCTTCTAATGCAGATTTTAATTTAATCCTTCTATTTTTCTAGGTTTTTTTTTCTGAGAGACCCTTCTAATTCAGGTTTGACGGTAAATAAAAGAAATAAGGATGTAAGAATTGCTCCTCATAGCAAATACTTTTCAAAAATATAAGGAGTCATCAGACACAATAGAAAATTAGAAAATCGAAAGCCAGAATAGTACGAGAGAGGACAAGAAAAAACAAGGAGACGCGAGAGAAAGACAGAAAGTTTTAGCATACTCGTATGACTTTGAGAAGGAGTTGGGCTAATGGAATAGCTGTTGAGAGTAGCAAAATGTTTTGATTACGAAATTTATGAATTTCGGACTTGTGATTTGTCCTTTTGAATTCAAAACAACATAAGAACAAAATAGCAGCTTTTAGTTTGAACAAATAAGTAAGTCGACAAATTCTGAAAAGACAAAAATGAAGAAAACCAAAAAGAAAGAATTAGAGCAATTATGATTTCAGAAAAACGATTGAACTTTCGCATACAAATTAGTGCAGAAAATAAAAGGCTGGAAAAGGTAAAATGAGAAAGGAAACTTCAAAATGAAGTTATTAGCTCCGAGTTGCCTGGTGAGAACTTTTTTCACCTCTTTTAATCAAAAAGTTAGAACACAATCTTGTCAGAAAAAAACGAGACACACAGCTCTCTTTCGTGGGTATTACACTATTCACGCTCTCCCACAGAACAATTCCGAACTGCAAATTAATTTTTGATCTACAGAAAAAAGTTTGGCGCGATCACAATTGCAGGTCTAAAACCATAATTTCAGGATTTTTTATCTGATTTTGTGGAGTTCCAAGATGATTCAAATAATTCTTAAAAATTAATTAGTGGTTATAGATTCGTATGGTCCTTTTCCGGAAGAAAAAATGTCAAAAATGGTCATTTTTGAAAGTTTTTTACAGAAAAAATGTATCTCCTCTTTCAGTTTTTGACATTTCTAGGAGTTCTATAGCTCAAAAAAACCGCAATTATTTTCTCTACATTTTTTATAAATGAATTTTTAATTTGTCTGAAAAAAACTTTTTTATAATTCAAAAACCTCATGAAATTGCACAAAATCGCATTTCTGCGTTGTTTTTTGATTATAAAAAAGTTTTATCAGACGAACTAAAAATTCGTCCATAGAAAGCGTAGAGAAAATAATTGCGGTTTTTTTGAACTATAGAACTCCTAGAAATGTCAAAAACTGAAAGAGGAGATAGATTTTTTCTGTAAAAAACTTTCAAAAATGACCATTTTTGACATTTTTCTTCCGGAAAAGGACCATAGATGAATCTAGAACTACTAATTATTTTTTTAAAAATCATTTGAATCATCTTAGAACTCCACAAAATCAGATAAAAAACTCTGAAATTTTGGTTTTAGACCTGCAATTGTGATCGCGTCAAACTTTTTTTCTGTAGATCAAAAATTAATTTGCAGATTGGAATTGTTCTGTGGGAGAGCGTGCCATTGTAAAAACTTTGAGAAGACGTTAGGGAAGAAGGAAACATGTGAAACACTCTTTGATTAACTCTGTCGATTTTGTGAGACGCATTTTTTGATTTATGACGAGCACAGGAACCCGACTAATTTAGAAAAAGAAGAAAATGAAAGACACAATCTCTGGGAAACTCGAAAGAACCATGGCAATGGAAAACTTCAAAATCGCCGTAGATTAAATTTTTTTTAAATTTTTTTTCCTAAAAGTAAAATTTTCTCTACTTCAAAATTACTGTAGAAAGTTGGTTCCAACACAAAAAATTGTCCTAATAGTACCAAAGACTAAAATCTGAAATATTTGAGCCGATATCATTATTTTGAAAAAAAAACAATTTTTCGGGGTTACGGTATTATTTCGCGCCCAGGAGGGGGCGTGTCTTATGGGTACTATGGTCAAACGTCTTAAAGTAGCCCCTAAACACACCAGATACTGTATCAAAGTTCTACGACCATTTTGAATCTTCCATTGCCATCACCTGTTGACCCGATCTCAATTCTCTCAGAGAATGTCTTAAGCGTGTTAAGCGTGTTGATGGATTTCCGTTTTTTTAAAATAGTAACATGATGTTTGCTATTGTAGAGCCCCCCCCCCCCCCCAAATCATAAGGTTGAGTACATGAGCCGGGTTGGACCATAATGCAATTTTTGCACGATATTTCTAATTTTTGTTCTTTCTTCCGGATTCTCAAGTTTTTCATTCTTCTCTTCTCTGATTCTGATGAAAAAAAATTAGCACATTGTTTGGAAACAATGAACCCAGTTGTTTATTTTTTGAGATTTTTGAAGAAATTCGGATTATTCATTTTTTGGAAAAATTGAAATCCTGGAATATTCCAAAATTGCCGGAAGATAGGGTTCGGGAATTTGGAATGTTTTAAATCGGCATTCATAATATTTCATTTTCAATAACTTCTTTTCGAATTTTCAGTTATTGTTTTCAACCGGAATTGAATAAAGCTTCGACAATAACCTTAACTTTCCCTTCCCCTGAAATTGTTGCATTTAGTTTTCAGACATGTAAAATTTCTCCAGTTTTTTTCATGTTCCATAAATTTTTCTTCTCATTCTTACATTTTTCAATACGAAAAATTGTAGTTTTCCTTCATTTCAAAAATAGAAGTCATGCGGATCTGCATTGATGCGATAAGCGAAAGAATCGTGGACTGGAGGGTGATAAATTTGAACGCATGACATACCATCATTCTATAATATCAGTTCTAGCTTAAAAATGAGAGCTCGGAAGTAAGAGAGGAGGCTTCGAGGGTAGATTAATGGAATGAATCGAAGGCCAGATTCGTGAAAATTTGATCTTATTGACCGTTGGTCTGGAGTAGGTCCTTTTTCTGACAAAAATGATTAAAATGTCATTTTCAGAAAAACAACCTTTCGGAATGTTGTTTGAATCGGAAATTCATGATTCCGAAATTCTGAATTCTGATTTTTTTATTGGATCTGGATTATTTTGGAATTCCGGAATTCCAAAGTTTCCCATTTTTTCAATTCGGACTAATCTTAAATTTATATTTTCTGGAATTCTTAATAATCTTGATTTCCGAATAATTGTTTTTCAAAAATTATCAATATTCCAAAATTTTGAAAGTTCGATTTTTCAAAATTTCGAATATTCTTGAATTTCGGAACTCAACTTTTCGAAACTTCGGAATATTTCAAAATTACGATTTTCAAAAAATTCGGAATCATTTAAAATTTTGATATGCCAAAATTCAAAAATTCCTACTTTTAAAAGTTCGGAATGATTCGAAATTCTGAAAATCCGATATTTGTGAATTCGGAATGTTCTCAAACTCCAAAATTCCTTTTTCGAAAATTCCGAAATTTCCCAAACGTTTGGAAATCGGAATTTCAGAATTCGGATTATTCCAAAACGCCGAAATACCGTTTTCTAAAGATTTGGAATATTCCGAACTATTTCCAATTTTCGAAAATTGAAAATACACAATTTTGGAATATTTCTAATTTTCAAAATTTAGAGCTGTGAAATTCCATATTTTGAAAGTTTAGAATCGAAAATGCATTTTTTATGTTTTCATTCTTACTGTAGGTACCGTATAACCATATTCGTCATGCTCATACTGGACTATGAACTTATAAATAAGAAGAATATCCTTCTGAAGACACACATTTCCATTCCAGTCGACTTATCTCCAATGTTATATTCAATATCAGAAAACTAATCTTCCATCTTTTTTATGTGTATGTTCATTCTTGCATACTAATTCAAAAGGGCGGAGTCGAATAAAAGAGAGCAGTTCTTCGTTCTGCTTACCAGCTGTTATCTTATCAGTTTCTCATTTATCAACTTATTCAAATAATAATATGAGTGATTCTTCTGAGGAAGAAGTTATTCGCGATCAAGTCCTTGTGGCCACTCTTTTTATCGTTTGCTCCGGAAAGGCTTGTGGAAATGTAAGTGTTACGAAATTTGAACTCACAAATTTATATTTAAATGTTTCCAAATTAATTATCGTAATCAATGATGAAGAATTCTTCTCCCCCAAAATTGTTTTTTCAGCCAGCATACTCCAAATGCGATGAGTTTCTGGGCAGGCATACAATCCCTTTGAATATCACATTCATTCTTTTCTCAAGTGGAATTCTGTTTCATTCCGTCACATCAACTGCCAAAGTGAGTTGAAATTAAAATTTTTAAAACTTTGGAATTTTGGAGTATTCTAATTTTTGTAGAATTTCGAAATTTCGAATTTTTTAGAATAATCCAAATTTTCGGACTTTCGGAATACATTGATTTCAAAAACTTCTGAATTTCGAAATCTCCAAATACTCCAATTATTGAAATATTCAGAAGTTTGATATTTCAAAATTTTAGAATCTTTGAAAATTCCTTCATTCTGATTTTGAAGTTTTCGGAATTTAATTTGAAAATTTCGGAATATTTAAATTTCTGAAAATCTGGAATGTTGGTACATTTGGTATACTTAGAATTTGAAGTTTCGGAAACTTTTCGAAAACCGAAATACTCCGATTATGAATTTTTAGGAATCTCGGAAAAAGTTTTATAATTTCGAAGCTTCGGATTATTCCAAATTTGAAATTTTTTGGATATTTGGGAATTCCGGGTTGTTGCGATTTCTAGAGGTGAAATTTTTAAACTTCGGAATATTTTGATTTTGTAAAATTAAAAATTTCGAATCTTCAGGAAATTATGATTTAAATAAACTTAGAATTTTGGCGTTTCCGAATACTCCGATTTTTAAAGTTTTGAAAATTTCTAACATTTGATATTTCGAAATTTCGTGATCTCACTGTAACTCTAGCGGAAACTGTGGCTAAACGTGCCGGTTGTGTTCAACGATAAGAGGGCATACTGTAGCAAAAAAAAACAGAGGGCATACTAAAAAAAACAAAGGATACTGTGGGAAGTAAAGCAGAGGGTATACTGTTAAAATACAGACGGTACACTGTTAAAAAAGACAGATAGGTATACTGTAGAAACAAAGAAAGTATAATGTGGAAAAAATATCAGCATGTTGCTTTTTTGAAAAATAGCTTTTCAGGATTGCCATCAGTCCTGCAACTTTGCTACTTGGTTCACAAACTCGAAATCAACTCCCGTTTCACCAATGAAAATGAAAGAACTTTTTCATGATCGAATCGCCATTGTAAGCCTCAATAGCTGGACAGAATTGTTCGTGGCAACTTGCTGCATTTTCAGGTTGCAAAACATCCAGATTGTTGCTTCGAGTTTGTCGGACTGCATGTAGATAATGGGACAGTGGACAAACTCTGTCATAGCTACAGCGTGGAACAAATCGAAACCGTAATTGAGCAAAAAATGGGAAAAACGCCAAGAAGAAAATTCAAGCAAGTTTTAGAGCTATTTAGAAAAACGCTTTTTGCAAACACAACGTGATTTGTAACATAGCTTTTTGTTTCGCCGTAGCTCCAATTTCTTAGTTTTTCGCTTCAATAGTTTCACATAATTTTCTGTGTTTTCGTTTTTTTTAAACAATACTCTGTATTAGAACTTTTTCGAGTGAATGGTTTCCTGTTACTTATAACTCAGACTTCGCAAATAAAAAGAAAATGTATACGTGCACTTTGACATCAATTATCTTGATTTCTGTGAGAGATATCAAAAATCTATAAACTACAAAAATGTTTGTGATATTATGTCAAACATTTTGACAGTTGACAGATTCGTTATATCTCTCACAGAACAGTCCGTTGTCCGCTGTCCGCTGTCCGTTGTCCGTGAAAAAAATATTCTGTCCGTTGTCCGTGTCCGTTGTCCGTATAAAAAATTTTCCTATCCGTGCAACTCTGTCTTGAAGTGATGGATAGAATTCCATCGTATTTTATGTAGTTGTTTTTGATTCACAGATTATGAAATTTGAGAGCGACTCAAAAAAGGGAACACATAGTTTAAAAGTTCCAAAAATTGAAATAATGAGGAATGTTTTTTCTCTCAAATTATCAGAATTTTTGATGAATTTTTTAAAGGTGGGGGGACAGGAGATTTTTCGTAGTTTTTTTGTAGCTAGAGTATGCATTCTACCGTCACGGTGTACAACGCTTAATGTCACTCTGCGTACAGCTGTCGTCCTCGCCTTTATGTATGCAATCGGGGTGCGCTTTCTCTTTGCCCGCGTGGCTCAGTCGGTAGCAGCGCCGCACCCTCAATCATCGCCCTCACAAGTTCACCTCCTCGAGGGGCATCTTTGAACGGAATTTCGAGAACATTATTTTTTTCATGTCCCCCCACCTTTAAAATGTTTTTTCTTTTAATTGTACTTTTTACTTTGAATGTTCATATGAAATTGTTGTGTTTTTCTTTTTGATAATAATAAAAAAATTAAACAAGAATATACCGTATTTCATCGAATAGAAGTTGATCCAAGCCGTCCACTTCAAACATATTTATCTCGATATTTCGAAAAAAAATAACTTTGAAGCACACCAACGAATTAACATTTTCTTTAATGTTTTCCGCCGGTCTAAAATGGATATTTTCGTAAAATGTTTTGTCATCTACATTTGCCTCATTCTTGAGTATGGTACAATTGTTTTCTCCCCCGTTCTCAAGGAGCAAATCAAGCTTCTTGAAGACGTCCAAAAGTCATTCCTGTTACGATGTTACAAGAAGTTCACCTATCCCTATATATCCTACTTTGATTGTCTCCGTGATCACAATTTAGAATCCTTAGAGTACCGTTGAATTCTATCCGATCTAGTTTTTATGTATAAAACTATAATTTCCCGGGAAATTGCAATTGCCCATAATCTATTCATAGTCCCGTTTCATCATAATCATCTAAGACACCACCCATATTACATTCGCTGTACATTAAAAAATGCTTCAATACTTTCTGCTCAATTTCTTACTCTCCGTATTATATCCTGCTGGAACTCGCTTCCAAAAACCGTGTTCCCACCCTTGATTTCATCCATCTCTTTTAAAACTAATTTAAGTCATGTTAATTTATCTTCTTTCCTGTTCCTAGACGAACATAATTTCTAACTCATTTGTTTAATTTGTAACACATTGATTTTATAAGTGACTGATAGTCCTGAATCAAATAAATTATTATTGAAAAAAATTGATAATTTCTGATTCTCGAAGTTTGAAAATCGGCAACTCAAAAACTCTGGCCAAAAATATGTTTCGAGCACTGAATAGGTGCCTGGAAATTTGATCAAAAAAGCAAAAGATATTTTCAAAAGAAGGCATCGAACCCCAGACCTTCAGCTTATAGCACGCGCCCACAACCACTCCGCCATATATAATAATATAATAATTTATTGATTAGAAGAAAATATGGCACAAAAGTTATAACGGGAGTTCTAGATAAAATCCCTAACGAGATGAACCTAGAGAATGGGGAAGAAAATGGTATACATGTAAGGTTGGCAAGATATTTAAAAAAAAGGGAAAAGGTGAGCAGAAAACTAAAACCGGGTGATGGAAGATTGGATTAAAGTAGAAAATTGACCGGGAGTTAAAAATTGGGGAGTATTCCTTACAATTGCATTCCAAATAGGGGCGGTGGTGAAAAAGAAGTCATCGGAACATTTATCTGAAAGAATAAGGGTCATAGGTCTCCTAGGACAGCCGGAAGTTCTTAAGAAAGAGGATAATTCTGGCATATAAGAGGCGTCACTAATCATTTTGTAAAGAAACATCATTTTGTAATGAAGCATAAGAGGTCAAGTTGGGAGAGACGATCTTGATAAGAAGAGTATGAGATATTGCATTTCTGGAAGACTTTACCGGTGAAGAAACGGAGTGGGGATTCGAGTTTTTGAGAGAGTTTGGAATTGGGGGGAGGAGAATAAATTACTGAATAGTACTCAAGAGAGGGGAGTACGTAGGTTCTGAATAAGTGAAGGTAGAATGAGGGATTGGAGGATTTGAAAGATTTCAAAAGTTGTTTGGATCGGAGAAGTGAAACAGCAACCGATTTGTTTATGTGTTGGGTGAACTTAAGTTTGGAGTCGGTAATAAGTCCTAGATCACGAATATTGTCTGAAGAATTAATAGCTGAGGAGGAGATGAAGAGGGGAGCGTGCTTGTTTCCTAAACCAAGGCGTAGAAGAGAAATCTTTGTATGAGCTAGAGGAAGCTTATTGTTAGTGACCCAGGTATCTACAGTGTAGATTCCAGTTTGTAGAAGGAAGGGATCTTGGGAATAGAGTTTTATGTCGTCAGCAAAAGCAGAGAAGTGGAGACCAGTGGGGATAATTTCAAGAAGATCATTAATGAAAATGAGTAAAAGGAGAGGTCCAACCACTGATCCTTGCGGAACACCAGTGGGAACCGGGTAGGAAGATGAATCAATGTAGTTATCGACTTTGACAGAAAAAGTGCGGTTAGACAGATAGTCCCCAAGCCAACTGACTAGGATAGGCGGGATTCCAAAAGCGTTAAGTTTCCGTAGTAGGAGGTCATGGGGCACCATATCGAACGCCTTTTTGAAGTCGAAGAAGACAACATCGAGAGTTTTGTGTTCTTTGAGTATAGACTTATATTGAGAGGTCGAGTAAATTAGAGCATTGGTGCAGGAGCGACGGGAGAGGAAACCAAATTGGAAAGGGGAGAATTGGTGTCCAAGATCTAAACGGATTCGCGTGCATATGATGCGTTCAAAGATTCTAGCGAAGGGGTCAGTGATTGAGATTGGTCTTTAGTTATCAGGAGAGCATGGATTACCCTTTTTGTGTACCGGGATAACGTAAGAATGTTTCCAAGATAGGGGATCTGATGAGGTTTCTAGAGAGCGGGTGAAAATTAAGGAAAGAGGTAGTGCGAGAGAAGTGGCACACCTTTTGATGAGAAAGTAGTTGGCCGGGGGGGGGGGGGGG